AAATATCATAAAGCCTGCCATTTGAAATAAATAAATAAAGATCTATTTAGAAAATAACGAATACCGAGTAACCCCAACATCGATAAACAATTAAAAGCCCCAAATCTGATACATATCAATTTCTAAAAAAAACTTTTATAGAGGTGAGATCAAATAGACTATCATGTTGTCTTAACACTTAGTGTTAAATGCAGATGTTATTCCAAGGCACCTTAGGTGATCTCCTTGCTAAAACTATGGCACGATCTCATCAAATACAACAGCAAGTTGATTGTAACTAGTTAGACATTTCCAGTTGATTTTTCATCTTTTAACGGGGGTAAACATTATGGCTAATATAGATTCCCCCCATTAAAAGTTTAACCCTTTAACGCAAGAACTATTTTTTTCCGAAAAATGCATCCAACCACATGTGTGTCTCACAGCAAACTGATGCTACCGACGTGATGAGTTTTGGCGGTGTATCAGGCGAAGGTTATTGACACGTATTGAGCACATGTTTCAAACAGCAATAGCGCCTTCTGTTACGAGTCTAGCACTAAAGGAGGTTATTTTGAAAGAGGACCGTACTGTTCAAAGAGGATTAAAGCGTTAATACTGTGCAATGAAAGACTAAATAATAAAATATGTTCACAGTATTGGTCGATTGGGGTAGTCATTAAAAATGCCGCATAAAATCACCTTTTGTTTGAACACAAACTGCCAAAATGCTGCCAGAGCAGAATTTGTCCTTGGGGCGCAGACAAGAAGTAGGTCCTTTCTCACAGTCAGTCCATCCACCCATACAGCCGACAGCTCTTTGTCAATAAAGTGATCGTCTTCACCAGTGATGCTGACACTTGCTGGAGAAGCGAAGGCGCGAGGTGACATGAGTAATGAGTAATTGTGTAGGAGGTACCATTGCTCTTTCAAGTAGGTAAATCCAGCGATGACATTGCGTTGATTAAGCTAAATGATCGGAAAACATAAACACTACTACCACTGGAAGTATTCATAACATGAGGTGATGAATGGACGTCAAAATCAGTGGTTCAATACCTTTCCATCATGCCAATTAGTTGACCTCTTAGCATTTGTCTTTTATAAAGTTAGTAAAGAGCTCGCAAATACACTTACAATGATGTAATTTGTATTCAGAGAAATGGGATAAATTAGTAGAAATCTAAAGACAAGAAATAATTAATTTGGACCACTTTGAACCTGTAATTCATGCATCAATGCAGATTCAAAAGCTACATCGCATTCTATTATCTCCTGAATCTTGGGAAAGCTATTTAGATGAACAATAATCAGGATTTACAGGTTCAATTTCGCGGTAATTCTTGTCCGTTTACTCAAATGATTAATTTGAGAAAAATAAACAATCCGTCCTATCTATCATCAGATCCACAGAATTGCACGCCATATTTATTGCATCATTAAAATATTGGAACCAATGGCTCACCGATGCAAATGTTGATCGAATGTCCAAATCAAGGATGGAATGTCCAGCAATGCCAACTTCAAATAAAAGGTCGTAGAGAAGAGCGTAATGACGAGCTGTTGGAATGGCATTTTGACGAGCCCTCCGCAGAGATGCGCAAGTTCGACCAACAGTCACTGAGCGTTCATGCATCAGTTGCTGTAGTAGCACATCGAAAGCGATAAATATTGAAGAACGCGAGAGCCCTGTTGGATAAGAAGTGATTTAAAGATTAATTTTTAATAGGTTTTCATCTTGAGTCCTAGAATATGATTAGCGAGATAAACAATTTTTAAGTAAATCGAACAGAAAAGGTGCTATAAAATGCATCCCTTCCAACTCTATTGGACATTGATATGTTAAAATAACATAATTTATCATTATTCTATAATAATTTAAGCCATATATTGAAAGAGTATGAATTGAAACCCAAGTTATTATTATTATTATTATTAGTCAGGGGTGAACGATAGACTTGCCTCCACGTAGTGCACCCTATAACGTATACCCATACGGGAAAAAAGTCTCTAAACCTTCATTTGCCCCCTGACTGCAAACTACCGTGGCCAGACTGTATGTCATATTCGAACACTTCCATAATACCCAACTCAACTCACCTTACCTTTTTCTCTAATTTTGTGCCCGTCTCTCTTTTTCGTCTGTGATTCCCTCTTCAGTTCCCCCCAACCCCCCCCCCCTCCCATCGACAATTGTGACTTTGATGTTCCTTCTCCTCTCTATGAAGCCCGAAGTCAACTAAAGGGCAAATGATAACTTGCATAAAGCCTGCCATTTGTTAAAAATAAACATATATTAGTCAGAAACGTTACCATCTTCACAGTGAATTAGCATAGGTCCGTCTTCCGTTCTCGTGGACATCTTAACATGAATATAGAAATCGAGGAAAGCTAACAAGTCGAAGTTGTTCACTAGATCATTCTCATCTCTGCCGTACGCGTAGTCGCTATCACTGTCATCCACATCCTGACAACGCCATCGATGGTAATGGAACTGGGTGATACGATTTTCACCGCCATTAGTCGTATCAGTGAGACGAAATCGGCGAATTGTGAAGTTTGCGTACTCCTGAACCTCGTCGGCCTCAACGATAAGTGTGTCATATTGACGTCTTTCACTTCCACTCAAAGCATCACCGTAACCTCCAGTGACTTCAGATCCATTTTTCTAAAAAAATGGTGAGGAAAGATGAAACCACACTTCATGCCTACTCATTAGAAGCACAGTGCTGTTGAAGCCTAGTCTAGGAAAACAGAAATGTCCAAACACATACTAGATTATCTGGAATAGCACAACTTGGCTTGAAGAGAGGTTCTAGCGTGGTGTCCTACCACAGTTCGTGTTAACATTGACCTCATGAACACTCTCCTAGTATGCTCACTGCTCCGGCATTGTTGTACAGGTAAAAAGATGAAAAGTCACCCGACATTCAACTTTGAGAGATAAAGTGGAATATGGAGGATATCTGGGTGGAAAACCTTCATCTCAACTTAACGAGTGTGGGCCTCCGGTATCAACGTAAAAGTGGTATAACAGTGTGTAAGCTGTTGCCACGTTAATAAAAAGAAAACAAAATGTTCAAGTTCACAGATCATGCCTTCCAACACCTCCAAAACACAGATTGCCCTTGACAACCTATTATCAAATCGTCTTTTTTTCACCATCAGAAGAATGTTGACCGATTTGCGAGACGCGATGTAATTTAAATGTAGACAAACGCGATTCACAGAACTGGATAGCCACTCTAACTGCAATTCTCATTCATGTGGGTTCAAAGTTGAACTATTACTTTGACGAGGGGTGTGCAAGAGACTTACTTCCATATGGTGTACCCTGGTCAAAGTATGCACATACGGCAAAAACCTATAAACCGGCAATTGACTACTGACTTCAAACTACCACGAACTGACTGTATATCGTATTCCACCATTTCCACAGCACTCACCCTACCTTTTTCTCTACCTTTGTACCTGTCTCCCTTTTACATCTTTGAATCTCTCTTCTGTCCCCCCCCCCTCCCCAAGACTTTTTTGAACGTTGTCGATCCTCCCGCCCTGTATGAAGCCTGAGGTCAACATAAATATGCTTATGGTAACTATTATAAACCCTGTCATTTGATATAATAAACAATTAACAAATATTTTGTTTAAAAAATTGCATTCTAACAGGAGTCTTGAAAAAAAACAGTAAACAAGTATGATTGGTCGGCACATACAAGTAACTAGACTGTATAAATGGCAAAAAAAGGTGAAGACGGAAATACCACCATATATTTTATTTTACTTACATCGGGCCAGAATTTGGTGCATTTCACAAGCCCACTTTCAATCAGGTTATCAAGAGTGATAATCTGCGACACTCCACACTGATCAATCATGGCCCAAAAGTCACTCGCCGTGGAAGCATTAAATGGACTCTGGGCGCAGATATACGCCTTCCTACGCATATAACCATCCACAAAGCTTGCATTAATGTAGTCGGTTTGAAATTGGCCACGCCTATGAAGTTGAACCCGATTATGATCGAAGGGTAGGGAGTTAGGACAACGATTTTTCTCGCGATTTACGGCTTGCTTTGCGTGGGTTTGAGAAAGGAGTTTATTTACCGAAAAACTGTAAGGAAATCACATGCAAATATTGAAAGTGAACAAAAGAGCACGATTAATTTAAGGGGAATAAGCGACCTTTTATACTCCCGAAAGAAAGTTTCTGCGATATCATGAATACCCTTTGAACCGAGTAAATTACTATCGGGACCACGTTGAGGATCGATAACGAGAAACCGTGGATCACGAAGATTAAGAGGAAAACTCCAAGCTGGGTAGGATTTCGGCAGAGCTGTCATGAAATCTTCAATTGTTGTCAACGCAGAACCACAACTCATTCTACGACTTGGACGCATATTGAGTGAATATTGCTTTGACTTAAAATATAAACTCATGCTACTGATGTATATTCAGTAATGTATTAATACAATCTTAAAGCGTACCTTTTTGCAAAAGGGAATTGGATACCTTAAAAATCTCCACCAGATATAAATAACGAGGACAATGAAACAGAGCAGTAAAATACCAATCGAAACTCCAGTTCCGACAGAAGTGGATAATACTCCAGAAGCAGGCATAAACACCAGTGTTCGAACAATACGCGCTTTCGCAGGCGAAACAACAAATAAATGTTCCGTGCCTGGCTTGAAAATAGCGTCTTCTTCAAGTGATGAAACCACAACAGTGATTAGAGTGTAATTTGAATCAGGCTCTAAACGCGGATCTGCATAGATTTGGGCTACTGGAGAATCAGGAAGGTTCATTTCAACTTCTACAGCTCCGTCCCCAATGGTAATATGATGGCGTGGAATAGATTTACCGTGGAATACTATTCGCGAAGTTGAAGGAAGGGAAAGTCGTTGATGAATGAAAGAGCTATCACCTAAAAATAGAGGACTGATAATCTCTCTCCCGCGCCACTTATATCATTAATAAGTAGGCATTGACTTACTTAAGCTAGTAGGGGATGGAAGGACTGAGAAATTTCCTGGTGCGATCGCGATGAAATAATCTGTGACCGGACCCCCTTCATAACCACTGATATTTGGAAAGCGGGCAACTATAGTTTCAGCCAAAACTTCAAGAATTTGAGGAGGAGGAAGTTCGAAGTTATGATAGGCTAAGAAGTGCTTCGGGGAGGTCCAAACATCTGAAGTTACTCCCAAAAATCTTTGTTCTTAAGTCAGTAAAAGAAGGAAACAGTAAATCACAAGATTCAAATAATATTCCAAAGCAAAATTAACTATCGGGTCAATTCGAGTCCACAGAATATTTTGAAAATAGCACACAAAGAATGGATTCTTACATCAATCGTTCAGTGCCGATTCCTATAATGCTTTAATAATCAAACAACTCGATCTTATAGAAAGTAGTAAAAATTTCAAGCGAAGGCTTCCTTTGTTATCAAACGAATTCGACCCAAGAAATTGCTCGACAAGTGGTGTTCATCTCGAATGAAATGAAAAGAAATCCTCACCTACTCTAAACCTAAAAATTTCAATTTCAATGCTCAATACTAACGAGCTCTTAAAGTGTACCTTCGATTAAACTCTTTTATGGCATTTTGAATTAAAATTGAAATTAATCAATATCGCGAAAGTATGTGGACATGCAACAAATCCCAAATGTACCTGAAGCCGAAACCGCCCATCCATAGATTCGATAACGCGTGGCCGGAAGGATGTTGGAAGCAAATGTGAATTGGCCTATCTCCCCAGATGCTGATTGAATGCTTGATCCTTTTCCATCTAGATCAATTGGCTTCGGGAGTCTAGTCTCAATAGGAAAGGCCGATGCCTAAGGAATCGAAAATAGCATTGTTAATGATAATTAGGCCTAATAAACTCAACCCCCCCCCTCCCCCTCCTAAGTTCACGAATACCATCTTGTTCTACGATGTGATTGGAATGAGGAGAGAGATTTATGTACATCTCTTGTGGCTCTGTTAAAAATCTTATTTAAATAAAGTACTAAACTATTTATGTAAATTTTAATCATAAAATAACTGTTATTAACCAACCAATAACGCCAATCGAACAACGGGAATTATTAGAAGACGACTACTAAACTTATTTCAATCGTGAAAGTGTAAATGGATCAAAATTAACAAAACCTAAACAATAAAGTTGAAACAAATTGGAATCGATGATTAACTGTACCCAATTAAAGGTATTTCGAGTTGATTTTATTGTTAAAATAAAACTTGCCCTTTTATAATGGCAAACTGCTTGGAGCAGCAGATGTACAAGTTCTAGCTATCTAATTTGGGGGGGGGGTGTAGGATGATTCGCTCTATGGGATTCAAAATTTCGCCTTCTTCGTCCGGGGAGATCTAATTCCGTGAGTAGTAGAAAAGCATTGCCTAATGTTATGCGAACACATGAAACACTCTTAAAACCCTTAAAAGTCGCCTTCTTTAACTCGATTGGTAGCGAGAAAAGGATTTACACTTATTTAGCCACGCATCGATATTCATTGCGGTCACAGCCTAATTGCCCAATCAACAAAAGAACTCCCTTGAGTTCAAAACTGTTTTTCTTACTCACCCAGTTGAGCACACATTGTCCCAGTGCAACACTCTCCACTCTCCCCAAAATTGTCACCAAAATGTCATCTTATTTGCATAGATTTCTACTGACTTATAAAATTTGTCCTAGTTCGGAGACTGGACTTGCATCGATTTACTGCCAGACATGAACTTAAGGCTCAAAACACGCAAGCTCTAAACATTTTCCCAAGCACTCAAATGGGTCCAAATTAGCAATAAAATTAATCTTAAACATGTTTCTTCTTTGTTCGAATGCCACAAAGATGATCTAGTTAGTGGAAGTTAGTTCTTTTAATGCATAGGTATAGTAACGGACCATTCAGATTGCCATAAACGCTATAACAAGGAAGAGAATGCAAATAACAAAGTTATGAACATATTATATGGATTGCGAAGTAAATTATAATGCAATTCAATATTAGCCTTGATTCCATATATCTAACAAAAACAGAGATAGCACACAACTTTAATTTGCTGAGAAATGGAAAGCCGTAGCATAGGCTTGGGCGCTTGTCTGATTAGCATAGATGCATATCTTTGAAGATGAACAGATAAGCATAAATGACTGTCATCCTAAGGCGCTGCAAAATTCACCGATTAAAACCCACTTAACAAATGTCAGTTTTCAAAACTTGAAAATTTAGACTCCAGCTGCGTGACGGCGTTCTAGGTTTTCTTTGTTTGGCGAGAAATGTGAATTCTACTCCCCCCCCCCCACACACTCATCACTCCCTCCCGCCCCTTATTTTAGCGAAGGCCTTAATACGCTCAAAAATTTTAGGCCCCAGCTACGCCATGGGATTAATATGTCCTAATAATCGACATTGATTACGTTAAAATAACTGGGTTATTTACACAAGTTGGGCCAATTCTAATTAAAAGACAAACTATTCACAACTCGAAATTTTTCCGTGAACAAAAAGTAGCATCGTATATAGCGACTCAGATACAAGGAAAGAACGGAGAAACGCATGCATTCTTTTGTTGCCTTGACACCGAATTTCAATTGGGGTCGAAAAGTGGATCATTTGTGTCAATATTAATGGGGAAAAACGAACTGTATCCTACTCGAACGCGTACCTTAGTTAGGAAAAAAACAGATTTCATTTCGAAGAGCATCGAAAATATACAAGGCACAATGTGCAAGATTTGTAAATGACGTTGGAAAACGAGAAAAAAATCATTCTAATGCTACTTTTAAAAGGTAAATGGTCACAACTGAATCTATGGTCTATGATCCCATGATTTGCTGTTTTGTAGAAACAATAATTGTTAACCGATAGAAAGACCGGACCGAAAACGGAACCGATAGATATGAAACAGAATGCATGTGAACTTGCTTCGCCTTGGAGTTCTGAGAGAAACAATAAGTTAGAACAATCATCGCCCGACTATTACACTCCCCCCCCCCCCTCCCAGATTCTTATGAAGTACTAGAAATAGATTCAAAGTAAATCTGCTTCTCTCAATCATATGGAGAAGTGGCATAAAGTAAACAATCTAGTGAAACAAAAAATCTATGAGAAGCAAGGATCTCAAAGGCTCTTGACTTGATTTGGCAGTTAAAAATTTGTTGAAAATATTTTCCTATTTCCCCTAAGTCTACATGATTGAAGATTCTACTATTTTAAAATGGGCAACGGGGGAGCGGGTGGATGGGGTCTCAAAAAGTGCATTTTTTTTGCTCAGTCTCCTACACATCACGTGATGAGTAGATTAGCGCCTAGCACGATTCGTCACACAGACCTCCTACATTAATCACACTTTTGTCCATTCAGAGCGGAATGCATAGTCCACAAATGACGTAATTTAAGGTGCTTCATGGCGTTGTCACCGCAGTTGACAAATCCATTTTTCATTGAGAATGACTTAGAGTAAGGCCGCACATATACCCCCCTCTATTTGCACAGCAATTAAGAATGATAAGGCAAAAGTGTTGGTAGTGCAGTGGTGTCTGCGGGACTAGAGGACGCGGTTGAACGCATAAATTGAGGAATGATCGATTAGTACTAGCTAGGTCTGACTCATAGAAGGGGCGGCAGAATTCCACATTCTCAAAAAGGAGACTACTTTCCAAATAGACGTATGAGTTGTGCCTGAAACTAACAAAGCACAGGATTTAGATTCTCCTTCGAGCTCTGATTTGGAGTGCACGTTATGAATGGTAGTTAAATGACTCTGAGGTTGACCCACACTAATCATACAGCTCAAAACCAGAGACCCCGTGTTTGGATTCAACGGTTTGTTCAATTCAGCAAAACAATGGGAGGGGGAGGGATGATGGTAGCTCACGTGAGATTCGAAGACCAATGTGGTGAGTGACCAAAATATATTCGAAGTAATATGTAAAAAAAGGTGTTCTTTTGATATGAAGCGCAACTAAATTAAGTTAAACGAAAAATGTTGCTGAAGATCATGAGGTAAGCAGCATCGAGTGTAGAAAGAAATGATCTGGCCGAAATGCGACACAGTCAGGTTGCCTGACCTTGAATAACCCACCTTGAAGCCACGAAAAGGAGCAACGATTCTAGGTCGTCCCTTATCAATTATAAGTTCCAATACACTACCACATGCGACAGTTGTTGTCTATTTCAGCATAATGCAAAATATTATGTTTGCAACAAAATTGCTTAAGTCTTACCCATAGTTGAACGGACTCAGAGATCGCAGCCCCACCGATTTGAACGCGAACTCCAAAACGGTCAGAACTTTGCTCTAGAACACTGATTTTAACCTTTGGTGAGGACTGAGCTTCAAGTTCCGTAAAGGTGGTGAACTCAAAATGACCTAGACCACCAATAATGCGGGTATTGCTTTCCATGTCACCCATCTTCATCCCAGAACACGCTACCGTACCCCGTTCGTAAATAGCGAATACCTACAAGGATAAAGAATTTATGCTAGAAGATAGTGAGACACAGACCTGTGCTCTGTATCTTGTTCCAGGTAGCAGATCTTGCGTGATAAGGAACGTTGAAAAGGCATCGGTTCTATAACGCTTGACAGTAACTTCTTCAGAGGATAGGGGGCTAGATACTTGGTCATTAGAGGGTCCAGTATCTTGACCTAAAACCGCAAGACTCAATTCGTAGCCGACTAGGTTGCCTAAGCCGCAGGAAATTGAATTATGATGCCATTGGAAAATTGCCCAATTTGTGGACAGACCAATCAGACTACAGTCACGGGGACCGTTCAGGCGGCCTGTTTGAGAGTAAAAAAGGCGAGATTTAGCTTTGATAAACGTGCCAAGGAGCGGAAAAGCGATACACTATGCATAAAGAGCAATCAACAACTAAATATACAGAATATTACTGAAATTGACTGTGTTTTAGGTCAGACAACCGGACAACGCAACGGGTAATCTTAAATAGAAAACCAACGAACTAATAAAATCTTAAGAATTGGAATATATAGATATGTTGCATATTTAACTTGTCACCGTAAAAAAAGGACAATAGAGCAGTAAAGGAAAGTAAATAAAGAGTTTTTCCCATTTATCAGCAAGTTGACCTCGGTAATATCTTGCCGATAAATAAAATTAAGATCCGCTTCCAGTCTAGACATAAGGTATCAAACTACAAGCAGAACCTTCCAGCTAAACGAAGGAAGCCATGCTCAACACCGAAACTGGATATAAATGGTAGAAATCATAACTCAGAAATAACAAATATATACTTCACACAGTCAATATCAACATTTGAACAATTAAGCACATACTATGGCGTTTTCCAAGGCTTACAGACGCTGCAAATAAGCACACGGGATAAAACGAAACACATCATTGATACCATACAAGTGGCTAAGGCAAAAGCGACGACACCAAAACATACCTCCAGAAGGTACAGTGTTGTTAAATTCAAGAATGTTAGGGCAGTTTGTTAAGGTGATGGTTTGAATGGTTGAATTGTCAGTTGGCACAAATGGAACGATATTTGAGTGACAACCTAAGTGTAATATAGAGGTCAAACATTTTGTCGGGGACAACAAACTGGACAATGAAATAAGAAAGTGATCATAAGTACAAACTCGATCGGTGCAGTCATCCGTACAGCTTAAAAAGAGGTAGTAGAATCTCACTTCTCAGGGGAATAGTTCCGAGAAGAGTAATGTCTAGATCTGAAAAATGGATTTGGGAAGGTTGACTCAAGTGAAGCAATCGTCTTGGACTATTTGCCTCCTTGAGTCGCCTTTACAAGACAGCCTCATTCTTTTACCACACTATTTACCTGTTTTTGAAAACAATAGTTCAGCGGATGCGCGACGATAATTATTAAACCTCTTTTCTCTAAGGAAGTACAGGCCAACCACCCCGCATTCAGTTATCATACTAAACTGGTAGATCAAAAGACCTTTCCCCTAGATCAATGATTATTGAGCAATGATGCATCGTAAACGACCCAATAAGAAAATACTAATACAAGTACGCTCTTCTTTCTATTAAAATCACATTGTAAGATGAGCTTATTCGGTGGAGTTTATTTGCTAATAAATGTGGGATCACTGCACTGAGGGCTTGAAAAGAAAATTGCACATTTATATCTAGAAAAAGAGACGAGTAAAAATAGATCCAAAATCATCGACACCTAGACATTAAATATACCACACCAAGTTGAGAAAAGAAAATAAAACGCAACTCGCCTTCTTTGGAAACATAAACAGCCTCTGAAAGGGGACTGGGCAGCCCCTCTTCCAGATAACCATCATCCGAAAAAGGTCCCACAAAGAAAATTGGAGTAACTTGGGCTCGATAGCTTTCTCCGGGTTCAACGTTAGTAAACACCTCACGATAAATATTGTCAATTAATTTACCAATTAAAACAGTCTTATTTTCTACCACTTCACCAGAGGATAAAAGTAGCTCAACTCTAAAATACAAAAATAGCAGTGATGCATAATGATAACTCTGAACGGATTAAGAGGCTCACATACCGATATTCACGAATATCCGCATTTCCTATATCAACTGATAAGTTGAACGGACGCCAAGAAACAAACATTGTTGAACATTCAGCATCCAATTGAGGAGGATTCAATAACTTAGCTCGGACTAAACACTACTATAAGGAGAAACTAATGGATAAACCATTTTGGCAACCAGGTCCAAATTTATCACTGGTGCAATGATTAGGATAAATACAATTTCCGTTTATATGAGAACAGTTATTCACAGGTGCGCAACTACATTTAAAAGCGCATTCGAGGCCAAAATAACCGCTATCACATGCTATAAAATTTAATTAAAAGAGAACAGAACACCTTACCTGTTTGACATTTGGGGAAACCAGTATAACCGGGACTGCAAGATCCCGAGATACAACCAAGACTATCAGTAGTGCTATTACAATTATTGTCCAAACAATGGCAACGAAAGGAACAGAGTGGCCCAAAGAACCCCTGGGTGCAAAAATCTTAATAAAGAAAAACGATTTCATTAGCCAATTTAGCTATGTAAATCAGACTAAGTAAATATTAAATTGCATGGACGTCACAAAGGATAGAGTATGCAAATTATTCACCTTTAGTTAGAGTGGAATCAATTAAAAACAAAATCAGAACATGGGAAAGCATCCCAGCATAGGCAACACTAATTCCTTAAAGGTTATATTTAAAAACGGGAAAACAGATATAGTTCTTTTATTGGTGCAATATAACTATCTCATGACCTAATTTTGTTGTGCGATTTAAGTAAACAATAGAGATATATTACTTTGATTAATTTTTTCAGATTTTAGAAGTGAATATTATTTAATATCTTTTTGCTTTAAAATTTAAGCAATTGTTATTTTATAAAATAAACTTTAGAGCTGTATATATTATTTCCCAGTGAATCAAGGATGGATTAATTCATGTTATTAAAGGAATTGAACTTGATTTGTTTTTAAATTGCGAGTGATTGTTTTTAAAATGTGGGTTAAGGCGATTGCATAATAATATCGGAATAACAATCAAGATTCAAAAGAAATTGCTCCTTTAAGTTATCTGTTCATTATTTATACAACGTTTTTTTCAATTTCAAACGATTGATTTTAGACTCACTAAATGTTTTGGTATATGCAGCATTTTTAATAACAGCAATTTTTAAAACCATCGTATTAAAGGTCGTTGCCAGTAGTTTCAGACGCCTTATGAATGATTGGTGTATTTTCAACAGAAAATGAACGCGCTGCCACTGAAACTTGGCTCTTGGCATGTTTTATTTAATTTGTTTATTTAATGAATGACTTTAATTTGTATGTTTACTGCATATTAAAATTGACATCAGATGTTAAGTTAATATTCTTGTTTTCTACCTTTAAAGGCACAAGTTCCAATTACATAATGGTGATAGAGTTGCATCGTTAACAAGAGTTGGCCACACGGCCCATCATCTTCAGGTTATCGAAAATCCTGATTGGATTTTGCTAGTCGGTGGGGCCAATCTCTCTAGCTGTTGTAAAAATGCTCTTCTAGTAAATATTAAAAAGGATCAGGTTTACTCCGCTGAACACCCGGATGCCTTACCTGTTCCTGGTCTATCTCGATATGAGCAATCGAGTTGTATATGTGATTGCGAGGTTTATAACTGATTCTTTTCATTGTTAACAATTCATTGGTTTTCTTTATATTTTGTTTAATTTCTTTTTAGATTATAATTTTCGGTGGGGCGACTTCGGAGCAGCCACTGAATGATATTTTACGTTTGAAGATGGAATCATTCTCCCTAAGTGGGTCGCAGCCGTTTCTAAAGTTTAGTACCCCAAATGAAAGCATAATTACATCGCCTACATGTATAATTACTCCTAGAACTCAACATACCGCAGACTGTATTACAAGTGCCGGAGAAATTATAATTTTCGCAGGTGGAAATATGGGTAGTGAACCTGTTGCTGACTCGTCGGTAAATTGTTTCTACTTAGTATTAATTCAGTAATGTAGATGTAATTTCTTTATTTTCTTAAAAATAGGTGTATGCTTATGAAGTCAAGTCTAATAAATGGCGAATTATTGAAATGGAGATTGGAGATCACGACTTCCCACACTGTCGAATGGGACACTTAATGATTATTCGACCAAGAGATAGTCAATCATCACTAAACGAAGAATTTGTATATATTCATGGTGGGATGTCTGGAAATGAGTTCCTTGATGATTTTCATCGTCTTCGAATTAAACGAGTAAGTAGACACCAATTTGCAAGGAGAATTTTGTTGAAATCATTTCTGAAGTCAAACGCAATTCTAACTGCGTTACAACCTGCTATGTGGATTATTCGCCTTTTTCAGTTCAGATACTAAGTTGAAATTTTAGCCCGTAAATTTATTCATATAAATTGCCACCGGTTTAGACATAATTTTCCTTTATTTTTGCAGTAAATACTTCCTCTAAATTTTATTTCTTATTTGTAACATTTTATTGGTAATATCACTTCCTTTGCGAAATTTTATCAAGAATATATATTCGTGAATGGGAAATAAATAACAGTGCTTGAGATTGTTAATAAATTGCCATTGTGTTTCTGGTTTAGAACTAGTTAACTTGTATATATTTTTCCGGCTAATTCTAAGGTACAATTTTTAACCTATTAGTTTTTAAATTAAAGTTTAAATTAACAAAAGGGTTGTTGCAAATTATGCTAAATTTTAACAAGGAATGATTTCGAAAGAAAGAAATTGATCATATTACTTTTCCGGCAACGAACTGAAATTTTTCGTCTAATCTTTTGTTCATAACGAAATATTTATTTATTTATTTCAAATGGCAGGCGTTTTGATACTTATCATTAGCCCTTTAGGTGACTTCGGGCTTCACAGGGGGAAGGAACTTCAAAGTAACAGGAAGTCGAAGGGTGGGGTACAGAAGAGTGATTTGCAGATGTAAAAGAGATAGACACAAAGGCAGAGAAAAGGTGAGGTGAGTACTGTTGAAGTGGTCGAATTCGACATACAATGAGGTGATGGTAGCTTGATTTTAGAAGTCAACTGCCGGTTAATAGACTTTTTTGCCGTAAGAGTATACGTTACCCAGGGTGCACCACGTGAAGGTAAGTCTATCGCACATCCCGGCAACGAATCTTTGTTCATAACGAAATATTATGGTTGACCATGAGGTTCACTGATGTGTGAGCGTTGAATTCGTTGACTAACATCACAAACGTGCATATTTACCGACCCGCCAAATTCGAGATATTTAAGCAAATTGGAATTAACCACTGAGGTTAATCACTTAACCCTAGATAATGGTAGAAAACGGAGAGGCACGATTGACTGGTGAATGGCAAAACGTGAGGAATGCAGTACCTTCGGAGGGAAGTTTCTGGCCCGTGGCTCGTGCAGGACATGGAGGAGCCATCGTGTATTCCAATACGAATGTTCTGCGTTTTTTTATATTTGGAGGCTTAAATTCCAGCGGTGCCTTGAACGATCTTCATTACTTCGATGAAGGTAGCTCAGTGTTTTTTATTACGGCTTTAAAATTCAACAATTTTGCGTGCTGTAATGTTCTTGTGCTGCTTTATCAATGAATAGTAATTAGTTCCCAGGTTTTATTCGCTTCTTACTTGAGCCTCCTATCTCAATTGATGTTTTTGGTTATTATACGTTGGTTGTTTTGATTATACGGTAACACATAATTTAATATATTTTATTAAGTGAATTTTGTTGGGTTAAAATTCCGTAATTTGATATATTCTTGCTGACTTACAGTTAAGTAGATAAATGCAGTAAAATGATACGACAAACCATCAAAAAAATAACCGAATTCTTAGCACACTCGTTGTATCGAGGACATCAAATCACTCGGCAGTTCAGGTTGCCAATTCTGACATTTTCATTTGATACAGTATTTAGTTAATAACTCACTCATTACTATACGATCCTAATCCAAAAATTGCATTATTCAAGACTTTTCTGATAAGCGGACTTCAAAGGTGATGACATTAAATGGTAAGCAGTGCCAGAGTATCAAATTTTTTATTTATTTACTTTGAGTCTTATTTCGCTCCTGCTTCCCGTTTCGAACTTTAAACGCCAGATTTTTACGGAAATAATGCAAACGTCATTTACCACTTGGTTAATGATTTAAATAGTCTGAAATGACGTTTAACAGTATTTTTCCCAGGGCTAAGACAACGGCTTGTGCCATTAAAAGACTAGAGCTCTTTGAAGTTACGAGTATTTTACAAATTGTACAAAATCTAACTTTTCCGTATTCTTATACGTTTTCCTTTAATAACTGCCGATTGAAAAAAAAAAGTTGAAAATCTTGATAAAGCATTATTACGTATATGCAGGTGTCTTTTAAACTGAAAATATAAATTTTGACCAATTACTGAACTCGCTTTCGTAGGTTCAAAACAATGGACCACAGTAACTACCTCTGGTAATGTTGTACCATCACCTCGTCTCGACTTCGCGTTTACAACTCTTCGCTTGAAGGTTGTAAATCCAGACTTTACGCCAGAGGCTACTGAACTTACATCGACTTTTTCAGTTTCAAATTTGGATGATGATAATGATGATTATGATGCCCATGAGAAGAATCCATCTGCAGATCAAGGTTTTCTTCAATTTCATATCTGAAATTTTAATTTTTTTGCGAATTTATTATTTAGGAAATCTCTTTGTGTGGAAGAATTACCTTTTCATCCAAGGAGGAATGAATGCTGATCAGGACATCTTTAGCGATGCTTTTCTATGCTGTCTAGATGATGTACCCTGATGAAACATTAGAAGTTTGTCACAAACCCCTCTACATTGTTTATATAAGTACTATGCTGTTGTCCAAGGTGTTTGCTAATTTATATCAAATGGCGGGCTTTATGATAGTCATCATTAGCCCTCTAATTGACTTCGGGCTTCACAGAGAGTACGAACATTATAGTCACAAAAGGTCGAGGATTGGGGTGGGGGGACAGAAGAGTGATTCATAGATAGTAAAGAGACGGACACAAAGGTAGAGAAAAATGTAAGGTAAGGTGGGTATTGAGAAGTGGTCGGAAATGATCTATAGTAGGGCCATGGTAATTTGAAGTCAGCCGGCGGCTTATAGACTTTTTTGCAGTATGAGTATGCGTTGCCCAAGATACCCCATGTGTAGGTAAGTCTATCGATCACTCCTTGTCAAAGGTGTAACCTGTGCTTATCATATTAAGGGTCTTATTGACCGTAGGATTTTTATCCTTTGGCCAGCGAAATTTCATTAAAAATGAGCATTTATCGTTTAAAAATGAGTTTTAATAAACTTCCACTGTTTTCGATTTATTGATCCAAATTTTTGGTGACACTTGGCTTTAAAAATATGGGCAAAATTTATTTATTTCAAATGGTAGGCGTTTTGATAATTATCATTCGTCCTATAGCTGACTTCAGGCTTCATAGGGGGAAGGAACATCTAAGTAGCAGAAATTAGAGGAGTGGGGAACAGAAGAGTGATTCAAAGATGTAAAATAGACTGGCACAAAGACAGAGAAAAGATAGGATGAGTGCTGTGGAAGTGATGAATATGGCATACAATTGGGCCATTGTAGTTTGAAGTGAGAAGTCAACTTCCGATTAATAGACTTTTTTGCCGTATGAGTATACGTTGCCCAGGGTGCACCACGTAGAGGTAAGTCTGCACACCCCATATGGGCAAAATAACCCATAGGTTTAGAGGGGAGTAGGGCATATATTTGGCATATCTTTTGATCTCTAACGAGAATTGATATCTGGCTGTGTTTAAAATATTGGCATAAAAGCTTGGGGTAGTTGTGTTCTACCGAGTCATTGTTTCGATAGTTGGTGATTATAATTGTTCACATTGCACATCGTTTTTCTAAGTTGTTTGAAGAAAGCTAACACTTGAAAACACTAGTAGCGACACCACGTCCATCCTCTCTCTTTTATGGTGCTTTTCAGTCTAATTAGATCACTCAAAGAATGTGGGAAGTATGTATACCCTCGAAACATCGGTTCAGTGCACCTCTAGGGAGTGTAGTAGCCAACTGTACTGGTTTAGTCTACAATAAGAAATCCTTTATTTTTGCAACCAGGTGTTTGAATTCAGTTTTTGAATATGCAGAGTGGGGGAAAAAGCCCTCTAAGTTTTGTTCCTAGTAGACAAATTGTTCAGCATTATTTATGAGCAATAATTGTCATTTTATTTGCGAAGGTAAAGGTGTCCAACCCCAAAGGAAGGGGAGTACACGTAAGCAGAGACTGACTCCTTTTCGTTTCTTTAATCAGTACTTGAATAAGTGCAAGTCTACTTAAGCCATTAAGGTCAAGTACTTACAGTTTGAATCAATGAATAGAAATTCAAAAGATTCACCGAAATCGGGACCACTTACAACGTTTGATGATGTTGCAAAATGTTTGGCTAAACAAACGAACGCTTTATCACCAAAATTCGCATACACATGAATAAGATGAGATTTGGGGGGTTGCTGCACCAACTCTCCCATGATAGCAAAAGATGAAAGGAGGAACAAATGCATTCTTTTGTTGCCTTGAAAACAATGACCGCGCAAATTTTTTGCACCGAATTTCTACGGGGGATGAGAAGTGGATCATTTGTGACAATATTGGTGGAAAAGCATTGATTGTCTCCTAATCAAACCCAAATTCCGTGCTATTAACGGAGGCAGATTTGGCCCAGCGGAAACTTCTTCCACATATTTGATGTAGTGTGCATGAAATAATCCAGTAGAAATCGGTAAAACTGAGCTGAATACCCGAAGTTGATTGCCGGCTGTTTGGAAGGCCAAAATAGAGATTGAGAGATAAACGACTAAGTTTAATTAACAGACAGAAAACAATTCTCCAATATGGCAATGCTTACTCACCGACAACACAAGAATGGCATTCCGAAAGTGCAGAAATTAAATTAGTCGGTTCACCAATTCGTCCAAATTCGCCTAGACTAGAATCGAAAACCATTCAAACGAGTATTTAGTTAATTTTGTTTTAAAAAAAGTTTCGAAAATAGGTCGGTGTAAATTCGTTTATTAAGTATCATGTGCATACTTTAAAAGAGGGTGACATTTTAATGTTGTCAATAAAATTCTGAACTTTTTTGTAATTACAATTGCTTCATTTTCTAATTGTGGCTTGAGGTATCCAACAGAGACCGATTAGGTACAGAAATTGAGACAGAGGAAATGTGATAATATTAGTTGATTGCAGGAAATTAAGCGATAGTAAATCTCTGCATTGTGGCATTTTTGCCACTTACTCTCAGATCACTTTGGTATATTCCTATGACATTGGTGGTTAACAAAATCGTCAACTTTTCAGTATTATCCGATAATTGTCATCAAGTTTCACGTTGAGAGGATTTTAATAGGCGATCCTTGGACGTTAAGTTAGAAGATATACGTCATATTTAAAAACAATTTAAATGTGAAGAACATAGGTAAAGTGTATTGATTTTAAGAATGACATACTAGCACAGGGCGTCCAATATTGCACTGTCCTAATTGCGTACCAAATGAAAAATTGTTTTTTTTACGATTAATTTGATCAATAAGGAAAGTCCATCTAACCCCAACACGTCCACGTGCGTATATTGGGGGCAGAAAAGCGTTCGGCATACTGCAAACAGGTAGGCAAACGTTTCTGGAAATTGACCAAGAGAACTGATGGGACAATATTTTTTAACTGACACGTGGTAAGGCATGCTCTAAAAGAGGCAAATTTCTTTGGACTTTCAGGCAAAAATCCTCAGGAAAGTAAATTTTGGTCAAGTTAAAAAATATTGTTTGCTTTAGACTACATGGAAAGTTGGATATGGAGCAAAATGGAAAGGAATTGGAGAAAAAAGGGATACAAGTAAATCTGAGCAACAGAAGCTCTCCTTTTACTTTAAAAATATGGAGACTGACAAATAACTATCAATTTTTTTCCAATATTTTCCTTAAATCCTAAAATTGGAAATTTGAGGGAAGTCAACGTGGTTTGCCATTTTCGCATTCAAATGGTGGTCAGGTTAAGTTCCGTTCAAGGTCGAGTATTTTGACAGATACATATCACAATTTCCTTCATTTTACATTGGGCTTTAGGATAGCGTTATTTAATGGTGCTGATGTTGGTCAAAGTATTGTGGTATCATTGTTGGGTTTCATTTTTCTAGATGTTATCCAGTCATAAACCATAACAAAGCCTGCAATAGATAATGCTTACCTTATAGGTATAGATCGTATAATTGACAATTTTGCCTTTTAAATAGTAAATCCAACTTATTGCTCACTATTTAGTAGATAGCGCTTGTAGTGATAGGTAATACTACTGTTTATTTATTATTAACGGAACCTTAACTGTTTCCCGGTTGTATTTCTCTTGTTGCTTGCTAACAAATTTCAAATTTAACTGACCTCAACTTTTCCGACAAAAATTTTAAACTTGAAAAGTTGTTTATTTCAAATTAATGTTTATAATGTTCCGGTTTCTCTTAAATAGATGTTAAATTACTTGACCTTCTACCGCATATGCTACTTTTCTGCCACTAGTTTGAATTCATCAATTTCAAGTTGAGCTCCTTTATTTCCATAGAAATTTAATTAATTTTGTTCAATTGCATTTCTTGAAACCGAATAATGATTTACCTGAATCCCACTTTTCATTCTAACTGATGTTATTTCCACGTAGTGGAAATACATCAAACAGTTAAAATTAGCCAGATGGAAAGTTTGTTATCGATTTTCTTGGAGGACAAATTAACGATGACTCATCACAGGCGAGAATAAGGTGTAAAATAGTGAATATCACAATTTATTGATATTTTGGCATATAGAATTTGCAGCACTAGCAATGATTATTTTTTTCGATAACTTAAAAGATAGCCTACGATAAATACCACCATTACGTAGGCGTGGACTTGCAGTATCATCACGCTCATGGCGGTCAAATTCATGCAGGGTTGCTAAAGTATTCCTACGTAGGGATACTATACACAATTGCAACTCTGCAGCTGTCATACAATCCATTCTTGTGAAGTATTTTTAGACTCCGTGAGCAATAGCGGGTGAATTAAATTTGAGAGTAGGCGTTAACGCAAGCGTGTCAGGTTAATTCTACGCTCTCTACTAAGAGACAATACGAAATGAAGAAAACAGCAGCTCTTATTTTGCTGAGACAAAATAGGCAACCGTGTTGAATTTTTGTGGATCACGGTGAACAGGCGTGTTTTGCTTGTTTGGCGCGGCAACATGCGGGAGGAAATGTGTGTGAATTTTAAGGGGATAAATTTACTCGCTCTCCGAGATAAATAAATTCCGAGCGATAATTTTTTGTCTAAGCATTTCAAAATAAAGCTCCAAATTTATCAAAATCTTTGATTTTTTTGAATAAATTATTTTTTGCTCTATTTTACCAGAAACTTAATCGCCTTTACCGGTGTAATTATTACTTAATAATTCAGAAAAATGGGAATAATACTTAAAAGTAAATCGAAAACAAAGTGATTTTTTTATTTGAATTCCAACCTCGTCATTTTGCCAGATTGCAAGGCATAATTTTCTCCATGGGTTAATATGTAGGAATACTAACTAGATCCTCTACTCAGTAATGTTATATCGACCAATCTTGGGGTGTGCGATAGACTTACCTCCACGTGGTACACTCTGGGCAACGTATACTCATTCGGCAAAAAAGTCTATTAATCGGCAATTGACTTCTGACTTGATACCCCACCGCATTTCATTTTCTACTAATTAAACAGTACTCACCTTTTTTCTACCTTTG